TGTACTTAATAATGTATCTACTCGTTATATTAATAACGAGGTTAGTAAGAACCTTTACGTAAATGATAAATATAAAAAATACAGATTTTCCAGGGTTTATAATTTACTAAATTATTATCTAAATAAGCGCCTTTCTACAACGCCACTGACGCCAAAATAGTAAATTTGACTTACCTGTGGAATGTTGTTCCAGGACTTAAATAGTCCAATTTCTTACAAATTTGGCACTGACGAACCATGTTTTATAGTTTTTAAATAAAAAGTAATCAAAATAAACACTAAACCGGCACTACACACTAAGAAAATCGAATCCAAAAAAATACAAAATCAAAACATCCAATAAAAACAATAAAATAGCCATGGAGAAACTGTGACAACAAGGTTTTACGACACGTGCTTTACTCTACTATGGCTCTACTACGAGAGAATAAAGAATGAACAGGCGACGTGGCGATTGATGGATGTTGCCAAATTGTAAAGAATTTGTCATTTTTAAATAGTCTCCGACTTATAATTTAGTAGTATAGGGACTATTTAATACATCTTTCTACTATTAAACACTACTTTATTAAAATACAGTTTTAATATCTCAATATATGTATAACACAAAAAAAATATTAATAATATTTTAGACGTGACAACATAGGCTGGAGGCGAAAGACTCAGACGGCCGAGGTCAGCTGCACCCAGGAGTAAACATGTTTACAAAAATTAATATTGGACCGCGCTTAAATGTAAATAGTGTAGTCTATATTTTATTCTAAGTCTATGGTCTGAACCATAGACAAACTAACAAAAGCAAGACGCGTCAACGCTGTACTGCAAAACGGCAACAAGTTTGATAAGAGTTTATTACCGCGCTTGCGTCAACTGGCCTTTTAGACGAGGACGGTTTACTTATGGATTGTGTATTTTGTAGTAAACTTTTAGACGAGGAATGTTTATTAAAATCAAATACATTTATTTCCATCGGTAAAATAAACAATAATTTCTGGACATAACAGATATAAAAACAAAAAAGTCAAATAAACGAAAACGTATTCCTCTTATTAAAATAACAAAAAAGATGATAAAAAAAAACAACAGTTATGGCAAATGAAATAAAAGCATTATTCTTCAAAAGGTACAAAAAAATAATTATGTATGTGTATTATAATATTAATAATAGGAACAACAAGAAACATCTTAAAAATATACAACTTTTTCAAATATAAAACAAAAACATAAACTTCACATTTTTCCAAGAATTTACAAAAATATTAACATTTCGAGTCTATTATAAAATATAAAGCACGAAAATTCAAATCATAAAAAGATTAAAAAGATAAAGATTCTTATATCTTACAGTCAATTTGTAGGATCTTCGTTTTGTCTACGTTAGCGATGTAATCAAATTAATATGTATAATCACAGTAATTATTATGTTCTTCATAAATGTAAAATGTATTACATTATTTATTTTCGTTTTCTACGCTAATAAAATAATAGTAATAACCAAACAAAACGCAAAATCAGGAATTCAAGGCAAAAAAGTTTTTCGTTTTATTTAGGTTAGGTTTGACGAGTGCGACTACGCGACGAATTCTGACTCAACTGGCCAGCGCAAAAACAATAATTCGACTTCCTCAATCCTTTGAAAAGTCTTGCTTTTGTTAGTTTGTCTATGGTCTGAACATATAAACATCAATCTATACTGTTTTTTCTACACTAAATCTATTTCGTAGTTGCAAAGAAAATTGTATATTCTTTGCATTCTCGAATTAAAGCTTTTTATTATATCATATATCATATATCAGCTGCCAAAACTGAAAACGTCAAAAGAAAAATGAATATTTTGATATTTATAATTCAAGTCATTCATCTTTACAAGTTTAAAGTACGCATTTTTAGATATTTGTTTTTAGGAATCACAAACAGCTATTATGGATGATACTTTTAGAAACTTTAGTGCCAAATGTTGAAAGCTGAAACTAAATAGTTATACTTGTTTCTCTTTGGTTGGATTTGGGTCAAACATTATTTGGGTCAAACATTATTTTGGGATCACTAGAACAACAAAACAATTCTAAATAGTGAGCGAAATATTATTTTGGTGATTGACAATTGAATTTTTTTAGTTACGCTTTTTACATTTATACTACATTTTTGAAAAAATATTTCAGATTATCTATCTAGTTCGAGCATAAGTTTAGCAAACATTATTTTTTTCTGTAAACGTTAAAATATATCTTTAAATGATTTTAATTATAGGAATTTGTTAATTTAAATGGAATGCTTGATTCAATAAAAAAGAGCATGAAACGGGTTTAAAATATCTTTCACAAACAATTTATGACTGCAACTATGAAAACGAAGTAGTTGCTGACTATTAAAAATAAATAACAACCTTCTTAAGGTCAATCTCCTAGATCATATATACTTACGTGTATAAATCAACGCCATAAGTTTAGCATTAAAAAATATGTCTCCAACATTACAACATGCCATTTTCAAACCTTCTTTATTGCATTTATGAATCGTTCAGTAGGTTTGTCTTTCTTGAGGACCTTACTTTGCGCATGCGTATTAAATGTTAGATGTATTTCCAAAATAATCACAATTTTATACGGTTTAGAAAGTACAAATTATACATTGTTATCGAAACCAACTTTTCATTGTCATTATATTGTCATAATCTTGTCATAATCACTTGTCATAATCACATGTCATAATCTTATTTCCATTGTGTAACGACGTGGCAACAACGTTTGTTTTTTGCGTTTTTAGTTTAAAAATTGTATTAAGTACTCTTTTATCGACCGCTTTTATATAGCCAAGGATGCTAGTGTGTTCAGTGAAAAGTTAATTTTAAGTTTGTGCATTTATATTTATATTTTTTTTTCGTTGGACTTTCTAAATACTCGTAAAAATAACTAGAAAGTGTTTAGTGTGCGAAAGTTTTAATATAAAGGTCCCCGAATTATCTTTTCATAGACAAGTAAAGTATTCAGTTGTCCTTTTATTTAAATTAAGCCACCTGCATAATTTCTGGTTAGATTTCCTAAGAATATTGATATTCGTACGGAGTGGCTAAATGTATTTTTTATATAATTTAATTTTTATGACAGTAAACATTCAATTTATTGTTCAAATATAAGCATTTTACAAATTAAATTTTTAAAATTAATGTTTAAATTTGGCGCGCGGACGATAGGTCCTCCACAAGGATAGATAGAATGGAAGCACCGCGTGTGCAACAAAAAAAAGAAGATAAATGGAAGTCGTTGATATGTTTGCGATAGTTTCCATAGTGACTTACTTATCCACGTAAGTATACCGGGTGCGTCTCAAAAGTGGCTCACCCCTATAAGTTTTTTATTTTTTCAGATAAATAAACGAGATTTGGTATGTTAGTATATGACATAAATTAAGATTGATTGACATAGTCAACCGTTGTCTGTCACTTCCGGTTTGAAATGACTACAACTTTTAATTTTTAAATAGCACCCTGGGTATTTTTTGACTTTATTCGATAGAAAATGACACTCTGAATAGACTATTGACATATCATATGTCAACTTTTGACATTTTCGCATATGGTTTATTTGGAATTATAACATGCGGTACATAACGAACATCTGTCTCGAAATACCAAGTGTGTGGTATCAAATTATTCGTAAAAAAAATATTTTTCCAAATTTGCTAATGAGCTACCCTAGTTCCATTTGAAAAAATTGAGATATGATTAAAAATACGATTTTGGCATCTTTTAACCGGCCAGGAAAAGACATTGAAAACATTAGATGATTAAATCTATTTTTCCAAGGCTCCTTGATTAAGAATTAGTGTTTTTAACATAGCCATGTCACTCTAGATTGAATTTTACAATACGATTTTTTATTAAGCGAGAATGTCCAAAGTTGACATATGAGATGTCATTCTATTCAGAATATCATTTTCTATCGAATAAAGTAAAAAAATACCGAGGGTGCCATTTAAAAATCAAAAGTTGTAGTCATTTCCGGTGAAACAGGAAGTGACCAAAAACAATTGAATATGCCAATCAATCCTAATTTATATCATATACTAACATGTCAAATCATGTTTTTTTATCTGAAAAAATAAAAAAATAGGGGTGAGCCACTTTTGAGACGCACCCGGTATATGATTTAGGGTTAACTTGCAGAAAGCGCCATTAAAAAAAGAAGAACACGGGGCAAATTATGACGTCTAGGGCTTGACCTCACTAAAATTATTCTTGATTGTCATTCCCCAGCCGTTTTCTCATTGACTTCTTGATTGACGCCGTTTTTATTCGATCGTATGGTACCGGGTATGATTATTGCGCCATTAAAAAATAAGAAGACTACGGACAAAGTAGTGACGTCTAGGTCATGACCACGCCAAAAAAAACATCGATTATCATTCCCCAGCCGTCTTTGACGCCGTTTTTTTTCTCAATCGTATAGTATTTTGATTACTGCGTAAAGTTAATAGGAAATGTGAAAATATTGTCAGCTGTTAGTTCTTCACATATTGTTAAGTAAAATAGTCATCATTCAAGTCGGTTACATTTTTTTCAATTTTAACGGCAGAATTACAGTGTAAAACATTTGAAATTTGTAAAAAATTAAAAAATACTACATTAAAATATTAAGTTTATATTTTTGTCTCGATTGAATTTTTAATAACCCCTCATTAAGAAATCAAATTTACGGGCTCGTATAGTCATTTTAATGTGCACGTGATGTATTAACTACTAAAGAGTTTAATTTACTTTTGATGTAAATTAAGACAAAACTTGAAGAAGTTGTAGCGAACTTATTATAATTTTATTTAAGGAGAAAAGCAATTATTAAAGGATTATCATAAATTCATAAATTAAGATAATGACGAAATATATATTTTTTTAATATCTGATATTTATTTACGACATCGCTACGAAAGTATTAAAATATACATGTAAATTTTTTTAGTGTAATTTGAATTAGATGTGGTAAATATTGTTCTCTTCTTTTCAGAATACCGTAGACAAATTGGTTCAGAGAGCTAATGCCTCTTTACTAATCGGAACATCTTCGTGGAAAGAACAATTTATTGAGGCCGTCACTGTCAGTTCGAGCGATGAGGATGACAAAAAGGAACCTTCTAGACTAGACTATTTTATGCACTGTTTAACAGTGTTTTGGAAAATACTGTTTGCATTTGTTCCACCAACAGGTAAATAGAACGTGTGACATGAAGCTTTTTTAGCAGGATGGGCCCTGTCCAATGATGGCGGTGGGTAAATACCCAATGGGTATAATAAAGAAATTTAGGAATATACGTGGTATACAGGGTGGTGACAATTCCGATGCTCAACATTGGCATCTCAGAAACTACAAGAGATACGAATTCGGTTAAATGGGAGAAAAGTCGCGTAATTAGAAGTTTGACAAACACCTATGAAGAAAAGCCAGGTATCCTGATTAGTTTCGGATTTATGTAAAAAAAAATGAAAATAATACATTTATTTTAAATCACAATATCTTCAAAACTATTGTATCTATTGCAACGTAAGTTGGTAGTTTTATATTTTTGATCTCGGCCAATTAAATGCCATTTTCAGAAAATTTCGCACAACAATCAAGTTTTTGTTTTCTTATGGCCACCATTTTTAATTTTTATCCTATTAGATAGAGCAAAAAATAATCTATACTACTACTATAATTTATTCATTATTATGTAAATTCACTAAAAAATTAGATTTTTTAAAAATTCGCTCAATAGATCAAGTCTGTCTTGGAAATCCAATTGACACTTTGATAATATGACAGCAAGTTAATTTTTGTTTATTCTATTAACTGTCAAATCTGGACGCACAAAAGTTGAATAGTAGAGTTCAATACAGGTTAATACATAACCTAAAATTTTATTGTCAAGAACACGTTCAAAGAATATATTATTTGTGGTTTGGTTTCTCTAATTAAATGGGGATTTTGTTTTTCATAATGATGTGAATTTTTTTTCTGTTAAATGAATGAGAATTTGTAAATAAAGATTCATCCGTCCATAATATTTTTCTAGAAATAAAGGGGACTCTCTTAAACACTTTACCGAAACCATTTGCAAAATTGTAATATTCTCTCGTGATTACCAACATGTAAAAAAATGTAAATTTGGTACACATTTAAATTTAAAGTTGTGATATTTATATTTCTTGATAATTTTCCCTACATAAGAATCACTTATATAATACTGCCGACTTATTTTACGGCTAGAAGTTTCCGGATCTGAGCTGGCACATTAATATCATTAAGCCTTTTAAAATAATGTCTTCTTGTTTTTAAAGCTACCAGCAACAGCTAAATTTCTCGAAATCCTTGGGAAAATAGTACGATTAGGCTGTGTCCTTATAGAATACAATGTTCTATAACTTGCGCATGCCATATCGAAATTTCTATTAGTTTTTAAGTAAACATCATCTACATATCTCGTGTTTCCTCACTTGTGAACATATTGTTGACTGTTAATACACTTTACACTATTTACTATAAATTTTTGTGTCTAGATTTGACCCTTAATAGAGTAAACAAAAATTAGCTTGCTGTCATATAAGGTGTCAATTTGATTTCCAAGGCAGACTTGATCTTTTGAGCGAATTATTAAAAAAAATATATTTTTTTAGTGAATTTACATAATAATGAATAAAACTTAGATACCGCAAACTTACCGCTAACTTAGATACCGCAAACGTACAGATTATTTTTTGCTCTATCTAACAGGATAAAAAATCAAAATGGCGGCCATAAGAAAACAAAAACTTGACTCTTGTTGTGCGAAATCTAGAAGGCTTAGAAATTTTCTGAAAACGGCATTTAATTGGCCGAGGTCAAAAATATAAAACTACCAACTTACGTTGTAATACATACAGTAGTTCTGAAGATATTGTCGTTTAAAATAAACGTATTATTTTTATTTTTTTGGCATAAATCCGAAACTAATCAAGATACCGGGGTTTTCGTCATAGGTGTTTTTCAAACTTCTAATTACGCAACTTTTGTCCCATTTAACCGAATTCGTATTAGCCTAAGAGCTGACGACATATTTAGAGAACATATTTTAGGCAAGCTAGAGTAACTAAAAATGTATAGTTTATTAACTGGTGAACCCAGAATCTTAAGTCTGGCTGGGGGGTTGGGGGTATTTCGCTACTGCGCAACCCATAACATTTGCAAAAAAAATAAATCCAAAAAACATTCTTTAGGCAACTTGAAATTTGTTTATTCTTAAATTTTAGCATCTATTTAACCTAGAAATAAGTATGCCAGACTTTTTTTCGGGTTTAAAGTGTAACCAGACCATTCCAAATATGTTTAATTATTATACCTGGAAAACATACTTTAGGCATTCTAAAATTTTTAGAGCGTGTTTATTAGATGATATTAAAAAATATGTGTTAATTGCTAGACGAATTCAATGGGATTTAATACTTGCCAGACGCGAATAAAGGTTTTAAATGAGTGCGACAAAAAAGTCTTATGAGTATCTATAAGCGCGAGAAAGATAGTTTATTGAGACCCGGTCGGCAGCCGATGCGGCTGACGTAACAGCATTTTGGAGTCGTAAAAACTTAAAAAAACTAACTAATATTGAATAAATAAAAAGAAACATTTTTTAATAAAAATGTATGATTGAAATCCTTTCAATAAGAAGACTTTTTAATTTAAGTGTTTTGTATCTGAAAGAATAAAAAGACGAATAGTTATTTAAAAATTAGCATAATATAAAATATATTTTTTTCATACGTCACAAAAGTATAATTATTATTATACTTTTGTGACATATTATATTATTATTAACTTTTGCGACCTGATTGACAATATAAAAAAGGCATTTTAACGCCTAAGCATAAAAGTAAAGCACTTTTACTTACTTTTGAATCTATTTAGAAAGATTAACAATGGTAGGTACTTTAATAAAATTCGAGAATACTTATTTTTTTAGCACTGTACATGGTACCCTTTTGTCGGGACTACGTTTTCTGGTAAAACCACTTCTTTAAATTTTAATCCATGTTGTTAGTGCACTTTTAAAAATTCTTTGCATTTTTGTAGTCTGTCTTCATCAAAAACTATAACTTTGTCAGTATAGTAAGCATACATCAGCATAGTAACTTTTTTACATACTACACAACTTAAATGTTTTTAATCCATTGTGATTTACTAGTTAGTAGCAAAATTAGTAGTTACTAAAATATTTATTTGCAGTAATTATTCTAAACTATTTACACTATGCACGTCAATATTTATATTATAAATACATATTTGTACATGGTAACTTAATTCCAACAAAATAATCTCTGAATTAAAAGCCTGCAAATAATTGAAATGAAACCAAAAAAAATGTTTTTATGAAAATTTGAAGTACATACTCCAAAATACTGTTACGTCAGCCGCATCGGCTGCCGACGGGTCTCAATAAACTATCTTTCTCGCGCTTATAGATACTCATAAGACTTTTTTGTCGCACTCATTTAAAACCTTTATTCGCGTCTGGCAAGTATTAAATCCCATTGAATTCGTCTAGCAATTAACACATATTTTTTAATATCATCTAATAAACGCGCTGTAAAAATTTTAGAATGCCTAAAGTATGTTTTCCAGGTATAATAATTAAACATATTTGGAATGGTCTGGTTACACTTTAAACCCGAAAAAAAGTCTGGCACACTTATTTCTAGGTTAAATAGATGCTAAAATTTAAGAATAAACAAATTTCAAGTTGCCTAAAGAATGTTTTTTGGATTTATTTTTTGCAAATGTTATGGGTTGCGCAGTAGCAAAATACCCCCAGCCAGACTTAGGATTCTGAGTTCACAAGTTATTAAATTTTATTTTTTTTTGTTATTCTAACTTCCCTAAAATATGTTCTCTAAATATGTTGCCAGCTCTCCGGCTATATAACTCTCGTAGTTTCTGAGATGGCAATGTTAAGCATCGAAATTGTCACCACCCTATATACCCAGAATGTGTAGGGTATATACCCATTGAGAAAATATTTTGTGATATAATGAGCCCAAGACGGAACGGGTGAGCGGAGGGGGGTTTTTCTTTCGGGAATGGACTCTGAACTGTGTGGTGCGCTGCGCGCTAAGAGGATATACTACCTGGTTTTCATTATTTTGTAGAACAGGGATGCTCACATAATTAGGATCGAACTTCCTTAAGGTAAGTCGTTTGATCCATTAAATATTGATACTTACTATCCGTCTACTGGATCTGTGTGTATGAATAGTATTTCAAGAATGCGGCAGACCCGTCTTGGAGAGCAGTGCAGTCGCCTATCGGTAAAATAGTTGTGCGGTTTTATTGAATTTTTATTGTTGTTCTTCTTAGTTTTTTAATTTTTATAGAGATTATGTATCATTTACGTAGAAAAGTATTGAAAAAAATAAAGCTGGGTATTTTTGAAATTTTTGTATACAAAAGTAATGTTATCTAAAATTGCCGTGAATATAGAGAATTTTGTTTTCCCCTTTACGGATGCCCTGTAGCTCCAGAATGGATCGACATACTGTAAGAAATTGTGTATTTTAATATGATATTAATATACATGCGTGCGATAAAACAAAATTAAGATTGAAATTCCAAAACATGCCACACTCAATTTAGCTTACTGTTTATTAATTTATCTGAACCACTCACAAACAAAACTAACATATTTTCCACGAAATTATAGCGACCTCGCACGAAAAGCGCAATTTTTTTGCTATTAAACTCATTCCCAACTAGTAGCACTTCAGTCACGAATAAAAATCATTGCCAGTATGCTTACAATAGAACAAAATTTTAAACGAATTTAATGATTTTATTAATGTTTAGTACATTTAATTAAGAGTAAAAAATACCAGAAAAAAAATTATGCAGGGTGTTTCTGACAGAGCTTGCATTTAAGGTTTCTAGAGAAGTGAAATATTTAAATAGGAGCTTCTTGTACATCAGTGTTCCACAATGAGATCACTCTATTAAAAATATCAATCCGTAATAATAAATCATTTAATTATTTACTAAAGAAGTGCGATTAGATTAAAGGTTTTTGTCCAATGCAAATCAAAAACATTTTTAAGACATGAATTAATTCAAGACCAAATAAATCTTGTTATCTTTTAAAATACATTAATCTGTCAATGTGTCTGTACACAATTTAAATTTAATAATGTATCTCTTATTTTGTAACAA